GACGCTTCCCAGGTTGGCTACACCAGGGGAGCACTGCACCGTGTCCGCCCCGGAGATCACTTCCCGCCCCACGCAGCTCACCACGCTCCTTGCCCCAAATCCACCCCCTACTCTGGGCAGGCAGTCTACGCTCCGGGCGCTAAATCCGGTGCCGCCAACACCGAAGGAGGAAACCGCTCCTAATCCAGAACTGGCCCCTCCTGTCTTCACTGCGCATTTGCCTCCGATTCCAGATAGGGTTCTGCACTCCCCGACTGTGCCACCACCGCTGACCACAGCTGTGAGGGAAAAACAGGTTCGGTCACTCCCCAAGCAGGCTCACGGCTCAGCGTAAAACTCAGCTTATAAAGAAACTTAGAAGCTTTTAAGGCTTATAAGGAAACAAAGGGAATGCTTTGTTGACTTACCTACGCTCACTGGGTTGCCCGTACATATCCTGTTAGGAAAAGAGATGTCACAAAGAGGTAGTCAGGGAACTACTCCCAAATACACCAGCAAACAGAGCTGGTGCCCAGTAATTGCCTCCTCAGGAACCTTGCAGACACTTCAGCTTTACTGACCACCCACGTTTCTGAGATGTTGGTCCAAATTGTCCACTGAACCAGTGGAGGCTGAGTCCCTAAACTCCATCGCTGTCTTAATATCCCATCCTTTACCTGTCCTGCAAGCAGGAGATGTGCCTGGCGTACTGCAACCCAGTTGCCCTTGGACAGTGCAGGGAGAGCAGAGGCAGTGCTTCTGCATGTGCCGTGGGGAGCTGCATCCACCCTGGCATTTCTCACTGCCTCTCCTCCCAGCCCTCAGCACAAGGCACAGCTGGGGATTCTCCTACCTGCTCTCTTCTCCTTCCAGCAGTGTCCTATATGTGGCAATCTCAATGTCCAGAGCCAGCTTGACGTTCAGCAGCTCTTGGTAGTCTCTCAGCAAGCATGCCATTTTGTCTTTGGCCTGCTGCAGGGCAGTCTGCAGGTCAATCAGCTTCTGCCGGGCATCTTTGAGGGCACAGTCGCCCCGCTGCTCCGCATCACAGATGGCGGTCTGCAGAGCTGCAATCTGGGAACAGCAACGAGTGAGGTGTCTGGCCTCGATTCGGAGAGGCATCTCCACAAGGTTGCTCATGTCTCCCCTTGTTTCTCAGCTATTTTCCTCCAGGAACTGCCAGAGAGCCTGGATTTATACTGGAAGCCTACATTTGAAATGGCCAAGATATTTGGGATGAAAGGGAGTGTGTCAGCTGCACCCCTGTGGGAAGTGTACAGCAAATAGTACTTCCGTTATAGCCAAATCAACTGGCTTCCACTTATTTGGTGAGTGAGAAATAAATCTCCCTCCTTGTGTTTAGATGACCTTGGAATGAGAAGCTACAAAGACAAACTCTGAAACTGGGGGGTTTTGTTGAAGCTGAGGCTCAGTGAGGTGGGACCTGGCGTGAATAAAGCCCTTTGCTGGAGAAGCTATGTGCCTCACAGGGGGAGCTGCCCGTGCGGCTTTAAACTACTCATCCTACCTGTTTCTTCACATTATCCGACTCGCACTGCAGCTTCTGGATCATCCGGTTCAGCTCGGCTATCTCGCTCTGGTTGTTTCTCAGGTCATCGCAGAACTTGCCTCTGCTACTGTGGAGCTCCTCCAGCTAACAGCCAGGAACAAGATGACGTTAGAAAGCTGTATTGCCCCTTCCAGGAAAGGTGGTACCTCTGGAGTCGCACCGACGTCTGTGCTCCCAAGGAAGTACCCAGACATGACCTCACCATGGCTGGACAAGGCCCCGAACATTTGCCCTTTGGGAAGTGGACAGTGTTCCTCATGGGTCTGCACAGGAGAGACCTCTCTGAAGTAACACTGTGCTCTGCCATGCTCTGTCTTTATGGAAACAGTCCAAACACAGTTTGCAGAAATTTAGTATGACTTTCTCTAGCAAGCTGCAGCAAATGTGCACTTTGGAGTGGCATTTCAGCTGCATCATGGGAGATAGAAATGGTCCTCAAGGATTTTATTGGCCAGGGCCTTATATTGCCATTTGTGCTGGTGGTGTGATTACTCACTCTGGTTTGATAGAAAGCCTCGACTTCAGCCTTGCTCTTCTGGGCAATCTCCTCATAGCAGCACTCAACACTTTTGATGATGCCCTCCATGTCCAGGTCCCGGCTGTTGTCCATTTGCACAATGACAGAGGTGTCGCACAGTTGGCAGTCCAGCTGAGCTCTCTCCTGCAAGATCCATTGTGTTTCAGTCCCCTTGCCTCAACCAGCCCAAGCTAAGCTCTTCCTGTTCATGCACAACTAGTCTAGGGTTCTCCAGGTAGGTGGCTGGTTTCCAGCAAGACCTGGCTGCTGGGAGCTGTTGTTATGGCACAACGTGAGATTGCTGCATGCAATTCCCTAAGGAAGGGTGGGGAATCCTAGTGTGGCAGCTTGCTTCATTGCTGCTTGGCAATTCCAGCTGCTTCAGCATTTCTGGGCTGTGAATCCCTCCAGAGTGAGTGCTTTGGGCCTGATTGTCTACAGATTTGGTTAAACTAGATGAAAAACAAATGTAAACCACTGCCTCTGTGTTTTGGTAAGAAGGTGTTACATTGTAGCCAAAAGTATCACTTTCACCAAACTGTTTTGACTCATGTGATGAAAGACGTCAAGTACTAAAAGCATTTTGGTTTTGAAGCGTGGAAGTGAGAAGTTTCAGTGGTTCCTAGGCACAGATCTGTTGAGAATTTTGGAGGTTTTTTCATGCAAAAGATCTCCCACATCACAGCCAACTATACGCAAGAAAATGTCCTTTGCCTTCCTAAAGCATGTGCAGTAATGTTGTTCGTAAGTACATATGAAGAGATGGAGTTTTTTTGGATGTGATTGCAGAATTAGACATTTTAGAAACATTTCAGAAAACCTTGCGTTCAGTTTTGCTGCAACAGCCCATAGGGCAGCTTCAGGGACGCAGGTGGAGCGTCCTCCCTGGGGCAGCAGCAGGGCTCTTACCTCAGCATAGATGCACTTCAGGAACTCCAGCTGCTGCCGCAGCAGGCCCACCCTCACCTCCAGCTCCTCCTTCGTCAGGTAAAGACAGTCCACATCCTGGAGAGACACCCCATGTTCAGTGAAAGAGGTGAAGAAACAATAACTGTGGCAAAGCCTGTTCTCTCTGCCTGTTCTCTCTGCCAAGAAACCTCACTTAAGGAAGTGAGGTTTCCAGCCTTTAAGACTACCTATATTTGCATAGTATGTTCTTAAAACCCATGATTGATGGGAGTTCTCCAAATTCCTCAGGTACTATCTATTTTGAGGCTAACCATTTGGGAGGATGAGCAGTCAGGCAGCGTCATCACGCTGAGCCATGACCCTCTGTTTCTTTTCCTGACCCAGCACTTGGGTTTTGTGTCCATGCCAGACACTCTTCAGTTGTCTCTCATTAGCTTTGTCCGTGGCATGACTTACCTTCTTGAGCACCACAAACTCGTTCTCTGCAGCTGTGCGCTTGTTGATCTCATCTTCATATCTGTTGGAGGAGAGGAGAGGGGTGGACTGCTGAGCCCAGACGAACAACCAGCGTCAAAGCAGCCAGTGCACAACACTGCAAGCAGGGTTAAACCTAGGCCCGCTCCCTATGAACTTTGTATTTCCTTTTTCATTTTGCTTCGTTGCTATTTTTTTTTCTCCCTACTGGGCTTTGTTCAGCACTTTTAAATAATGCACGCTAGCAGTATCAGTGTCTCACTGATGCTGGGCTAGGGCAAGATGGCAGTAAATAAAGTTAAACTGCTACAAATGCAAAACTGGACTTCAGTTGAAGGTTGGTCTTCTTCTAGTCCTGCTGCTGTGTGAGAGCTTTTTCTGAAACGTCTGCCTCTTTGCTCTGAATGTGTATGGGGAGATCCAAAGTGCCCTGAGGGAGGTCAGGAGCTTGAGCAACCCTAGAAACTCCCAGATGCAGTCGTGAGGAAAGCCAGCCCACAATGGCCAGGTAATTGGGACCTAGAAGAACTTTCACAAGATGAGTCTGACCTCCTTGCTGCTAGCTCAGCAGAAAAAACGCGTCTGAGATGCTTGACTGTGAGATCTTTGGAGTAGGGACTACTCTTATATCCTCTGCTGTGTATCAGCAACCACCAAGAGTCCTGATTTATGGCTCAGTGTAACACACGGGAAGCTTTTCAGGAATATTTACATCTTAGATTAAAAACCGAATCCTCACATTCCCTCTGGGAAGACAGAATGAAGCAAGGAGACAGTGGGGATAACGTGTGGGTGGAGACAAATAGACTGAGGGTTTTGTGGGAATGGATAGCACTGGGGGCATGAAATTTGAGGGAGCCACAGAGGCATATTATGTGGGAGATTTGATAGGACAAGCCACGGCTGAGTACAGGAATAATAGAGGAAGAGTGCTTCCCCGCTCCTCTCCTTAAGGAGATACCGTGGCTGAAGAGCTCTCCCCGTCCATTACCAGCATCTGAGAGGCAGCAGTTGGACCCCAATACAAGAAAACAGCCCGGTACTAGTGTGGCCTGCCCATTCTTGGACCCCAGAGGACTCCTGTACAATTTCATTGGCTTCATGCTCAAAAACGCCACTTGAAGCTAGCAAACGCCCTAGTCTGCAGCTTCTGACTGCGTGTCCTACTTACTTGCACTTGTACTCTTGAACCAGGTCCCTCAGGCACCGCTCCTCGTTTTCCAGCCTCTCTCGCTCCCCCAGCACACACTCCAGCTGCTTCCTCAGGTTGCAGATGAAATTCTCAAAAACCGGCTCCAGGTTTCTCCGGGAAGCTGGGAGAACGTACTGCTGCAGCAGCTCCCACTTGGTGGTCAGCACTTTGTTCTGCTGCTCCAGCAGCCGGACCTGGGGACGCAAGAGATGCAAAGGTCATTGAATCCTGTAACATCCCTGTCAAAGGTGCTTTGAGTTTCTCTGCTTCAAAAGGGAAGAAAAATAAAAAATCAGAAATGCAAAGCACTGATTTCTCAGCAATCTGAGTGAAAACAGCATCTTCTTTCAGTAAAACCTGGTGTCACCCAGGACCCAAGTCTAATCTCATATCACAGGCTGAACAACGTCGGTGTGTTTTCTCTGTGACAGGAACAACACGTTTGACTAAAGCGCAGTTCAGCCATATACTCTCTCCTCCTCCGTGACGACCCGCTGCTGGAGAATCCACTGCCTTCTCCAATGAGTGATTACAGTAACTAGCCTTTCGCAGTGCTAAAAGCTGCATCCAGGATCTCATCTGAATGTATCTGATTTAAACTCTAGCCACGGATACTTATCATGCCTTTCATTTCTAGATTAAAGAACCTTTCTATATCATGAATAAGTCATTTTGCAATGGGAGGATATAGAGTGGCTCCTCTTACATACGTTTGATTTCTTTCAACAGTAGAAATAGCTGAGGAGGAAAAGAAAGATTAGACAGAGCAAAAGTTTTGAAAAGTCATTTTCTCCAATATACCTCTAAATAGCAACAAAACTCCTTAGTGTTAGCTAAAATACCAAATTATAAATTATATATTTGTTTAGGAAATCACCAAATAATTTCACAGATGGAGTGGAGGGACAAAGAAGTTAAGCATTCATTTTATTTTAGCTAGCCATCTATCTTTCTACATCTGTATGGTGAAGCACGCACACTATTCAAAAACACTGAAGTCCTTTGGAGTTTGTAGAGTGCAGGAGCTTAAAACCAGATTTTTTGAACACTTCTATTAAGAGTTTCTGTTTTGCCTGTTTACACTTCAGTGGCTCAGTCCCTTCTCTCACAAGTATTGATTTATCCTATCACTGGAGCTGCTCCTGCTTAACAGACTGGTAAGTTAGTGATCACGAAAAGCTAAAGTAGCTGTGCTGTTGCCTTGGTTGAAGTCTAACGTTGAGACAGTCTCTGTGTCAGGAGAACCACTCAGAAACCATTGCAAGAACGGGAGTCAGTAGAAATAGCTATGTTTTTTGTCTCTCTAGAGGTGCCTATCCGTCACAGCCTGGGCAAAGAAGACAAATAGTGTGCACAGAGGGATTTTGAGGCTCACCTTGTCAATGAAGCAGGCAAACTGGTTATTGAGGTTCTTTATCTGCTCTTTCTCGTGGGTCCGCACTTGGCATTCCTCTGGGTCGACCCCTACGCAGAGGGGCTTGAGGAGCTCCGGGTGGATGCTGACGCCTCGGATGCCTTCAGATCTACCTCCCGCGAGTCCGACGCCACTGCTGTAGCCTCCGATAGTGACACCATCCCCAAGGCCTCTGTAGCTGCCCAGGCTCCCATAGCTTCCGCAGTTACCAAACCCTATGACAGTGCCCACGCCAAAGCGGCCTCCACCGTAAGCCACGCCACGTCCCACGCCGGCACCTCCGTAGACCCCGCTCCGGCAGCTCCCACCAAAGGAAATCCTTTGGCCTCGCCCCAGGTCGCAGACACTCCGGCTGCTGAAGCCACCAATTCCACATCTTCTTCCCACCGGCTGGCAAACGGAGGCTGAGCTGCTGTTGCCCCTGCCGAGGCCGCAGATGGCAGAAGCAGAGGAAAAACCCCTTCTTCCCAGGAGAGAGCTGGAGGTGTAGCACTGTCGACTCATGGTGGCTTGGTCAAAGTGGATGTGAAGCAGTAATGGCAAAGCAGGAGAGCAAAAGAGGAGCAGAGAGTGAAAGAAGGAGAGCTCCTTTAGCTTCTCTGAGGGAGAGCCCTTCTCCTTATATACCTTTCAGGAGGTGCCTGAGATGCAAAAATTTAATTTATCCACTGGGTTTGGTCTGCCTGACAGCAAGGAATGGCTTCCAACATTTTAAACCCACAGCAAACACTTCTATCTCATATGAAATAATGTGGAAATTAAAATAAACTGCTTTGCTTGCAAGCTTCAGTTTCAGGACTTATATTTTACTTAATTAATCTACTTCCTTATTATGTAATTATAGTTTAGCAAAATAATTCAAGGGGTTTTTATTCATGGCTTGTTTACGGTTTCGTTTCACCACAGTGTTTAATTATGTTTCAGGACCTCCTGCAAAATGTCATGGTGATGCCATCCCTTCCAGGGTCTCTCGCCAGCTCAGAGCCAGCTCTTGAGCAATGCCCAGTGACGACAGGGGAGAAGAAACGCGTGTCCTTCAAAGCATGGCACTGACGTTGTCAGAAGCATCCTTGTAAGCATTCAGTTCTTCCTCTCGGGGGTACAGTTGCGATGCTTGTAGATGCCTTGGATGCAGCCGTGTTTGCCAGCTTGCAAGCTGGCAAGCGGATCCGGTTGGCGATCACAGTATTGATCGAGTTCACTCTACATGTGATGGGGCAAATGCTGAATTCAGGAGCGGGAGCAGTGCTGATGCTCTTGCAAATTTGGGGATGTGCACATGAAATGCAGTCACTGGTTTGACTGTGGTTTGACGTCTCCCTTAGAGCATGGTGTTGAAGATAAGGCATTTCTGGGAAGTGCTCGGTTGCAGATGGCAAAGTGTTTTATTATTTAATTATGTGCATAGGGAAGGGGATAACTGGGCATAGTATCTGGCTGTGATGTGACTGGCACATATGGAGGATTCATGCAGGCAGTAGCTGGAGATGCGACAAAGAAGTGAAATCAAGTGTTACGAACAGGTTGAGAAATGTTAGCCGGAGTGAACTTTTTTCCTCTTATTCCTGTGACACACCTATTTGACGTTAAATTATTCTAGTAATATCTGTTAATGAGAAGGTACATACCTTAATTAAAATTCTCAAAAAGATTTTTTGAATTTGCTTGGAAACAAATAAAGTACTTTTTTTTGCCTGAACAAAGGGGTCTAATCACAGAATCACAAGTGATTGCATAGCTTGTCTTAAGAAGGCTTTGCATCTTTGCTGAGGCAAACTTAACTGGTTCTGGGAGGATTCCTAGTTAGTTGTATGGTAAACTTGAAGTAGATAGTCTTGAATTAAAAATAATGCAAAGGAAGTATCATGATTTAGAACATGTGGAGTCTCTCCAGGCAAAGATCTTCCCTTTTTTTAATAGATCTCATAATTGGATGAAGTGAACTATAAAAATATTGCATGCAGTTTTCATCATGTAGTAGTTCTGTTGCAGCTGCATTGGTCTGAGGATATTGGGACGCAAGTCTTGCAATGAGAGGTGATTTTATTTATGAGATAGCTGGAGAAAGCAGAGAAGCTTTGGGGCACCGCAGCCCTTTATGTCATTGTGCCCATGGTAATCCAAGCACCTGAACCTTTTGCTAGTAAGTGAAAAGGGATATTATTTCAGAAATTTGTTTTATTTTTGTACTGAAGTTTTGGTGCAAGCATCATAGAGGACAACTGGATGTGTAGTCTGAAACCAAGGCTTGAGCGCTGCCTTGAAACAGGGCACTCATGGGTGGTCTAAAGCATCGTTTAGCCTTTCGGTAGGTCTGTACAACTTGAGCTTCGGGACCTCTTTTCACTGGCATAACCATGGGCAGCTCCTAGGCTGACTGTCGGTGGTGGTGGTAGCAAAATAGGCAGAAGTTCAGGCCATCAAACTACTGGCACAAGTGGCTGTGGTCCTGCTGGCTGTTTTCTGCACACCTGAGCCCTGCACACCCAAGTTGGTGCAGCTATAGTGGGGAAGAGATGAGATGTTTGGGGTGGTGACCACTGATGCTGAAATGCTGGGTGGGAACCAGTCACTGATCCAGCAGGAGCACGGGGACAGACTCCGTCTCCTTTTCATGGCAAGAAAGATGCCACCCTTCATCCTTGAGGGCAGCAACTTGCTGGGTTTTCCAGCCATGAGAAATCTGGATCTTGTTCTGCTCAGATCTGCTAGGTGGCCCCCTCAACGTGTGGCTTGTGCCGTTTGAGGTCGGTAGACCTAGTTGGAAAAGACCAACAAGACCTGATCTCATTGGCAAGGAGGGAAAATGCTGCTTGTGGGACATCCCATCCACGTTCCTCCACCAGCCGAGAGCTCTGCAGCAGCCTCTGAGGTCCCTTCCTGCATACGAAATGCTGCCGGGCTGTTCCTTCGCAAGCTGAAAGCAACAAACCTGTGCTTCAACATTCAACTCCTCCTTCCAGCCCTAAGAAGTGGCTGCTTCCAGGTACCCAGCCTCGCACATCAGAGGGAAACAGTTCAGGGCAGTGCTTGTGGTTTCAGCTGCTGAGCTTTCAGAAAGCCCATCTGCAGTCACATGGTGGAAACCCTGAGCTCTGGTTACATAAACTTCAAAGGAGGAAACACTCTGAGGCGATTTGGTCTTCTTAAGAGCAGGATTGCCATTGTTTTTATTTTGTCCGCCCTACTCATGCAGAGCACTAGTTCAAATCAGAAGCAAAAGTTCTCTTGTTAGAGGCTTTTCTTCCCTTGTCTCTGTGCTTCGTCCCTGCTGATTGCAGGTCCGATAATGTTTGAAGTGCTTTAGAAAGAGAATAACCTTCCTCTTTACAAGGAAGAGAGAAAACCACAGCTTTCAGGCTGACAGGATTCAGCAAAGCTTTAAAGCAGCAGCTTACACCCTGATTGACTGGGGAAACCCCTGAGGTCCTTGGCCCAAAATATGCCTTGAACTGTAGTGGCTTCCATGAGACTTAAGCCTTTGAGATTTACGTGTATCCAGATGTATTGGGGTACATTAATGCAGCTTAAGTGCCTTGCTAAATTGGGGCCTGTTAAATCATCAGTGTGGCTAGGTAGATCCTGGGGGCTTTGCAGCCTTCTGCTATGATTCTGGGTGAAACAACACAACCATCAAAGCTTTTGCCCACTGAGAAAACCACCTGTTTAAGACCCTTTCCCAAGGAAATGGGTTTGGCAGGTCTTGGCATCACGCTCTCACTGCCGTTGGCCGGTGTTCAGCCTCCCTCCCTGCAGGCTGGGCAGTTTTCATGGCTCCCTGTGAAAGGGACCGTGATGTCTCCATTAAAATGACTAATGAGGCCCCCGGGACGTTGTCCCTGGGGTTTCGTGGAGCCGGCCCTCCAAAGGTCACTTTTCCAGGTCTCTTAACTGCAGCTTGATTCTGCTCCCACATCAAAGCAGACAGTGGATTTGTGGGGACAGGGCCTGGGCAGAGACAACAGTCTGGGCTCCTTCCATTGCCACTGGGCGCCTTGCTCTCCTCCCCGTGACCTGGCGAGGATCTCTCCACAGCCGATCCACAACTGTTATGCTTCTCACCCTCAGACTGGCTCTACCCCAGCCATTAAATAGCATTCATGCTGCTTTGGGGCAAGAAGATGGACAAGATAATTCCTGAGGTCCCTTTCTGACTCTTCCCTGAGCAGCTGTGGTCACCACCAATACACACTATCAGTGCTTGCAATAGAGCATCTGCCAGATAAGACCGTGCCAGAACCTTAACCCTCCCGCGGCATTCTTTCTTCTGGAAAGAGGATCTGTGCAATAATAAACTGTAGGTGACTGATCAGGTATTGTGGCAGGATGGAGATATTAAGCAAAGCAGACAAGAATATAGCTCCCAAAGGGGATGTCTCACCCAGGGGACATGGAGAGCTACCTACTAGACAGACCCTGTGTCCGCTGTGGTGCACTGGCCCATCTTGGTGCCCTGAAACCAAGTCCAGGTGTTTCATTCAGGGGAACGTTGTCATATTCAGGACAGTTCTTTATTCGTGCAGTGGAAAACGTGGGTGTAGGACACAGAGTTGCACGTATCTTTTGGGCAAAGCTTGCATGCCTTTTGCTGGAAATACTGACTGCAGTCGGTGGGGTGCCAGCTGCAACAAAAGACAGGCTATTTGGATTTTGAAAATCTCCATTTGGTACCGAGTGACCTAAGCAGAGACACTCTCCTTCGTGGTTCTTATTTACCATTTTATTTTGCAAGAGACAAATAGATTTCGTACCAAACATCATGGGCGTTTGCTCTCTTCCTTTGTAACGTTCCTCTTTTGCATAGGAATTTGCAAGACCGTTTGCGTCACCTGGCCTAGCTTTGTGCTAACACTCAGGGCCTGATGGTTTATTAGGGTTCTGAGTAATGGGGTGGAATTGGTATGGCAGTGGCGTGATGAAAGCACAACACAACAGCCAGGAATAAAATTGGGAATTGCCACTGCAGAGGGTTATTAACCACGTGCCAAGTAAAGGGTGCAAGTTTTGCACCAAAAGTGTTTTCCTGGGGAAAGGTGGGCCTTCCTCATTAAAAAAAAAGTCATGGGAATCATGTCAGATTTTGAGGTTGGAAATGCTGTATTCTTTCATGGGACAGTTGTCTCTCTCCCTCTTCTCTCCTGCGATAGAAACTTTTTAAGCAGACAGCATGTGCCTTCATGCACTGAGCCAGCCAGGGACTCCAGAGATGCCCTCCAGCAGCTGAGTGAAAGGGGAGAGTGTGGGAAGAGGGGAATTCAGCCACTGAATTTCAACTAATTCCCATCTATAGGTCTATAAATCTATGCCTCTGTTTGTGTGCACATGAGTATATATAATAATGATCATAGAAAGCAGCTCTTCGGTGTGTGCAGTTAATATAATAGAGCTAATTTTGCAAACCTATAAACAGACTTCTTAAAA